TTAATTTTGAGTATTTTTTTCATACCGTGTATGTAAATTGATTACCCGAACTTAGGTCAACGATTCGTAGCGTGTTGAAAGTTTGCTTCCTGTGAGTTGCCAATGTGGTATGTAAAGAGGGATGGCGGATATAATCTGATTTTTCTTTTATTTGTATCGTTCACCTTTAAGCTAATAGTAATTCAGACTATAGCTGAAAAGCTGGCTTTCTTGATATCATATTATGTTCCGTTATTACGTAATTGATATCCACTATAGTTTCACTGAAACAAAAGAACGTAAGAATTCCATACGAACCACTTATGAATTTTAGCCACATGAAATCGGTATGAATTTCCTTGATTTGCCTTATGAAAAATAATGCTGGCAAAAATAACATAAAGTGGAGTAGACTGGAACCGAACCATGAACGTTGAGATTACGGGGCCCGTTTGCTGACCACTCGCCTTTCAACGCTTGGGAAAATGAAATGGTTATAGGCGTATACAAGCAACCTTTGTTTGACAAAAAATCATTCATAATTTCCGCTTATGAAATTCATATGTTTCTTAAGTTTATTTGCCTGAGTGTTGAACGTAGTATAATATGTAGTATGTAAATAGGGGTGGCAGATATAATCTGATTTTTATTTTATTTGTATTGTTCACCCACAGACAAACAGACATAACACTCACAAGTTGTTCATCGAACAAGCATTTAACGGTCAATTTAAAAGTATCTCAATTGGTAGTACTGCCACCTGTGGCACGTACAGTCAATTCCTTTGCGTTTGACGTTTACACACTACCGCCATATGTTCAGCGTAGTACCGACCACAGTGTACTCAACAGATGGCGGTAATGTTTTAGCGACGATATTTTACAATGAGAAATATTCAATGTGTTATGTCTGTTTGCCTGTGGTTCACCTTTAAGTTAATAGTAATTCAGACTATAGCTGGAATTATAGGCTTTCTTGATATCATATTATATTTCGTTATTACATGATTGATATCTACTGTTTCACTGAGGCAAAAGAACGTAAGAATTTCACAAGAACCCCTTATGAATTTCAGCCACATGATATCGGTAAGAATTTCATTGATTTGCCTTATGAAAATTAATGTTTACAAAATAATAATACAGTGAAGCAGACTGGAACCGAACCATGAACGTTCAGATTACGGGGCCCGTTTTTTGACCACTCGTCTTTCAACGCTTGGGAAAATGAAATGGTTATAGGCGTATGAGAGCAGCCTCCTGTTAGATGAAAATCATTCATAAGTTCCGCTTATGACATTCATATGGGTCGTTCATAAGTCGAACCTTATGAAATTCTTAAGTTTATTTGCCAGAGTGTTGAACGTAGTATAATGTCATGACGTCAGGGTAGGCGTGTAAAATGCATGAGAAAGTTAATACTGTCTGCCACACCTTTTATTTTATTGAATTCTTGAATTGATTACACGCTTAAATAATAATGCCACGAATGGATTTAGTCACCTTTCTCACCGGGATTACCATAGAGGTTTGTTTAACCGCTTAACTATTGCGTTGTTCTTTCATAACAATATAGGGGAAATAGCTCTACTGTTGACCTGTGGATCTAAGATTGGGCCCGTCACTAAAAATCTGCCATTTATAAATTTTATCTAGATGAACTCGTTATTGGGACGGTACTAACATAGAGGTAACTCTAAGACTAGAAGGTCTCGAAGAAACGTGCTCAACTTTTTGGCTCAGCTCTGGTACTATCTTCGGTCGCAAGCTAATCGATTCACCCCTCGAAACATAGGAAAATCCACTAACCCCTCATTATATCTGTCAAACTTTCATAGCAAATCAAAACAAACATAGTGTAGTACTAGAATTCCGACTCGAATGGGGTGCGTTAATCGATTTGCTTAGAACCAATAGGCTAGTCAAGTAGTGAGCCAATTTAAAATCGTTAGTTTCCACCAGCTGATATTACTGTTTCATCTTTTCAGAAACATATGGAAATTCAGGAAGTGAACCATATTGCTCATTTCAAGAACAACATGTGAAAAGGGCATACAAGCTTTTTGTAAACAAATCTTCTTATGCCCTTTTCTCGCCACCCATATGACACCAATGCAAACCATCAAGATTAACGGGTAGGAGAAGCATTCTTTTTCCTGATGAAATTGTTGATTTGCGTAGGCGACCCTCGGTTGGCGAGAAAAGGGCCCACAAATGTTTGTTTACAAAAAGCTTGTATGCCCTTTTTACATGTGACTCTTGATTTATAATATTTCCTTTCATTCAAAGCGTGCTTCTTTTTCCTTTCCGTTTCGTGTTGATAGTCTAGCTAGGCGTTATTTAAATGATGCAGTTTGCAGATGCGAGTTCATGCATTACGATTTCTCCGTTTTTGCCAATGTTGTCTAAAGGTATTTTACATTATCAAAGTGACATGACATATTTGAGCCAAGGTTAGGTACTGGATGGTTACAACAAACCTTTACAGTGACAACTTGTTTCACAAAGTTTGGAAACTTATAGATTCATACGCTTAATTGGAACAAGATTGCAAATAGGTTCTTCAACACATCTTGGTCCGTCAACTTTTTTAGTAACATCTCGAAACAGTTGCTTAATAGGTACAAAAAAACAAATAGTTCACATTCCGTTGCACCAAAGTTTCAAGAAACATATTTTTTTATGGATCTCTCATTCAACAAACACAATACAAGTTGGATTTGTTGCTCAAGTGTTTCATACAATATCACGTAGCATATAACTTCATACCAATTTGAGTGTAATATGTTTGCTCCTGGGGCCTCCCTTAGCTCAGTCGGTAAAGGCGCAGCTACAAAGCAAGACCATGCTGGAGGTGGCTGGGTTCGATTCCCGGTCCGGTCTAGGAATTTTTCGGGTTGAAAAATTTCTCGACTTCCCTGGGCATAGAAGTATGATTAGACTTGCCACACAATTATACCAATGCAAAAATGGTACAAGCATCGAAAGCTCACAATTAATAACTGTGGAAGTGCATCTAGAACACTAAGTTGAGAGCACGCAATAAGCTAATATGCGATATGCAATAAGCTTGAAATGCCAAGAAGAAAAAGAAGATGTTTGCTCCTCCAATTTGATGAATGATTTGACAGGTCATCCAAGCAGAACATTGAAACAGACGACAAACTTAAAACTGTGTCGAATAAAGATGTACTTCTTGGGCAACTCACATTAAAAAATAAAAGAATTTAGATTTTTTCTGTGTTGCTTGGGTAGAGATTCGAAAATGTAGAGCCCTGATGAAGACATTACTGAAGACGACTCTTAATTCTAGGTTGACTATGATATAAGTGATTTTCTTTTTAACCACCTAAAACTACTTTTGCAATTCATAACCACATATCACTCAATATGCTCTGCAGATATTCAAAAATCTTTAGTTATCAAACAAGTTTTCCCTTCCGCAAGCAAATCTCTACGATAAACTTTGTTAGGTTCTGCTCTACTCGGAATCGTAAAGAAGTTCCTACCATACGTCCCCTCCCGCTCCCCCTCCCTGCTCCAATTCTTTTCTCAAGAATCAGATGCACGAAGAAAGGTAAATCTTATCTCACCGGTTTTTCCGGACAAGTGTTTGAGTTTCCCATCAAAATCTCCTCGCACCACAAAAACACATACTCATAGACACACAAACCACCGACGGCCCCAGGTATATCAGCGCTTGCGGAGGAAGGGGCAAACCACCTCTCAAACAAATTATTTTAAGAATGTTTAGTTTCCGTCCTACTTTTCCGGTGTTCCTTCCTCCAGTGACTGGGGCCGGAACCGGATCGGAAAGGAAGTGAAAGTCAACGAAAAAGTTTCCCCCGTTACCCACCCTGGAGGAAAAACTACGTGTGCGTGTGGGAGGGGAGAAGCTGACGCTTCTTGAAATAGTCACGTATTCGGTCGATCTGGGAGTTTCTGCCAAAGGCTCATGCATGTGTGCCGCCAATGTGTGGAAGCTTGTCATAAGGTTGAATTCCGTGCATTTGCTCCGGGAAGGCGAAATTTAGAATGGAGACACCGTCAGGAGGGGAAGAGGGGGGGGGGGTTGTTGGGCAAAATCTACTAAAAGGAAGGACGTTCGGGTTGATGGAAAAAGTTTGATCCCTTCGTTGTTCGTGCTCGTTATCGGTCAAAGTTTAGTTGTACATACCGGTGTTCAGATGGAAGCTTTGCGATCCGATGACATAGTTTCAAATTTGCAATTTTGTTTTGCTAGCTTGCTACGGGGGACAGATATAAAATAAACTTAATTAAAGTTAAACCAACTTTCTTCTTTTTTTTTTTAATGCATGACAGCCAAATGTTATCAAACTCAGCATAATTTTTCTCCGAAAGTAAATAGTTTGAAAAGCGCTTTTCATCACAGACAAAAGCGTTTTCCTCACTGACCGGAGACGAAAAGACCAAAACTTTCCACCCGTTTACATCCGCAGGACCAAAGCAAAAAGAAGAACACTTACAAAGACATTATTCATCCGAAGCGTTCGATGAAAATTTCGATCCTTAGGAAAAAGTTGCTCCATTGGATAAATTCCTACCGCCGCCCATATCCTCCCATATTTCCTTGAAGATGCGAATTTCCGCAGAAATTCGATTTGCCGTATCTCGGTGCTGGAACCGGAATTCCTACCTCCACGACGGAGAAGGAGTTTCCTGCATCCGCAATGCAGCAATTTCCAACCGTCTTTTCCAAGAACTTTTCTATGAAACATTCCTTATCCCCTTACGACCCACATTGCTTGTGGAAAACTGGAAAACTGAACCAAAACTTACGAGTGTAGAAAGTAAGTGAAATTTATTGTCCACCTTCCTGTTGGGGTTCCATTCCATCCCCGCCCTCCGCCCACAGCCAGCAGAGAAAAACGTGTGAACTCTATCAAAGCCCGGCATCATTCGGAGATCGTTTCTTCGCTTCCTGTCGAAGTTTAAGGGTAATTAATTTTCCATTTCTCTAACCGCTCGTAATTTGATTTCATGCCCACCGCAACGATTTAGATGGCAAAGTCAGTCAGCAGGTGAGCGCGTTCGAATCTGCCACAGGCCATCAGCAGCAGCAGCAGCAACAGTCCAATGTCTACCAGACATCGACCAGCCGTACCACAGTCACTCAGCAGCAGCAGCAGCAACATCAGTATCAACGGAGCAGTAGCGGAACCCGATTGGGTGGAAGGACATCGGAAATAAGTACTTATCATTATGATCCCGATTGGGTTTCGGAATCTCCGTAGCACAATAACTTGCACAATTTCCACATTTGTTTGGGTGTTATTCTATTTATCCCGCAGGTACGCCGATCAAAGTGGAGTATCTCAGCGAACCGGAATCATCGGACAACACCCGGTGGACGGTGATGGCACAGCTGTCGCCGAAGAAGCACGACGGCATCGGGCCGACGACCAGGGAGGGGATGCCCCTGACACTGAGATCTGTAAGGGTTTGTTTTTATTGTATTTGAAGAAGTTAGATGGTTTAGTTAGGAAATAATTAAGGATTTTGAGTAATCCAGTCAAACGAAAAACTCGTTAAAGATTAAGTTCAGTGCTACAGGCAGTGTTGGAAAATATCAAAAAAATCAAATATCACCAATGCCCAAGATCACGCTTGATTTTCGAAGACAAAAATCAATCAGCAAACAACTGCGGTTGATTTTGCAAGCTGCGAAATTGCAGCTCCTGAATATCAAGCTAACAAAACTCAACAGCTGCAAATCTCAACAAACTGTGGTGAGATTGAGTTGCATTATTTTTGCTTTACATCCGAATGCAACCGAAACTTCCACAACGGCTGGCAGCAGTCTCTTCGTGTCTGCCATCGGTGAAGAGTAAAGAGAGATAGCAAACTATACCTTCTCTTTCTAAGAAAACGATGTGCAACGGAATCATTTTTGTGTCGGGTCAACTCTCAGCTTGACTTTTGCACGTTGTGAAAAGTCTCGCAATATCAAAGGAGCTTGTAAAATCAATATCAAGCATGATATTTTGTTCCAATATCATGCGTGATATTGAGACCGTTTGAAAGCGGAATAATATCATTTGATTGATGATTATGCCAACACTAGCTGCAGGGGATAGACAAAATGATCGGGACTAGAGTTGTCAATGTCGGACCCTTTTTGCGAGTATCGGTATTTCGGTACTGAAAGGTAATACCGGTAAATTATAGGTACCAAATGATTTTAAGAAATTACATGGAAATTCTAGAATAATAATTCATTTGAAGGAGTCTGTCTTGGTGTCCTCTTACGCTTAAGGTCACTTCTTTAACACACCGAACATGATGCCTCCAATAAAATGTGTAACGGCAAACTTGCAATGTTCGAAAAATCATAACTCAGTTATTGATAAATTTCAAATCCATTGGCGCCATTTGAAACTAGTGACTTTTAAGATTGATTCGTTTTTTTTTTTATAATTACTTTATTTGTACAGGCTCAATCGAATAAACTTTACAGAGCCGAGTTATCCTTTGCGTTATACATTATTACTGTCTTAAATTTAAAGTTAAAGGAACTGGACCGAGTACTCGCGGTTGCGATTCGGTTTTAATAGATCTAAAATGTATCGATAAATTGCTGAAGAATGATTTTAAAAAACATTGCCAATTTACCGTTACACATTTTACCGGAGCCACCGTTTTTTTATAATGCGTTTATTTTTCCAGGCTCATTTTCCGTAGCTTTCCGGAGCCGATATTCATTGTTTAGATTACCAAACTACTTAAAACTAGAGAGGGTCTAGTATAAGAGAGGAGCGGACTGGCTGGTTTCGAGCCAAACGAACTGTCAAAGCCAGAGCCAATCGAGCACCACCTATATTGATTGCATTGGCAGTGTTGCTAGAAATCACCTAGGCATAGGTTGCCAAAGTAGTTTGATTTGAATCCGCTAGTCTCTTATCTAGACCCTCTCTACTTAAAACTAACGTTAGTAAAGCAGGAGCCGGTTACTCGAAGTTAGGGATGACAAATTGTAACAAATGGATGGCAGGGTAGGGATTGAGAACACAAGGTTAGGAGAGCAGTGTGCTCTTGATCTCGAACTAAGCGACATACTGATGAAAATGACAGAGGTGTTCGGCATGTGATTTTTTTCCCCATGAAAGTCACGAATAGTTTGAAAATGTTCAATCGACTGTAACAATTATGTATTGAATCTCTTGAATATCCTATTATCCTGATTATTTAAAATCATAACATAAGAAGCAAATTCGACACATCGTCTCTCTTATGAAAAAAATACTAGTCACGAAATTTCCAGACACAGAAAAGTTCAAACAGTGCTATCATGCTAAGTTTAGAGTTAGTTAGTTACCTCAAATCCATGCGCCTTCATAATCGTAATTAAAGGAAGTACACACAACACTACACAGTTAGAAAAACTGATGTAAATTTAAGTGCTCTGCAGACATATACGAACGTCAAATTTGACATAAAATTGAGTCATAGTAGACGCGAAATTCAGCTCGATCAAACCTACACAGATAAAAATTCTTAATTTTAATTGTGATGTTCACATTCATTCACGTATACTTGTATTTAATTTCACGCAACCGAGCAACTTGCAAACAATGTTGTTTACAAAGATGGGTTTTTGCATACAATATTTGCTACATTGCATGATATATAATGTAAACGTATATGATATGTGACGCTCCATCTATGTGTATCATATTGAACAGAAATTTACACTACTTTTTCGAACTGTGTACTTTCAAACTTTTCAGTCTAGCAGCACTTAATTTTACATTAAATGTTTGTTTACGTGTCATCGTTTATGTCAAAGATGGATTCCGTCACTTGTAATATTGAGTATTTCTAAGTATGTAGAGTACGGATACAACTTATTTGTAATCAGTGGTACACAGTTCGAAAAAGTAGTGTAAATTTCTGTTCAGTATGATGTACATAAATGGAGCGTCACATATCATATAAGTTTACATTATATATCATGTAAAGTTCTGAGACATTTCATGCAATGTTGCAAATATTGTATACAAAAGCCCATTGTTGTAAACAACATTGTATACAAGTTGCTCGGTTGCATGAAATGAAATACAAGTCTACGTGAATAAATGTTTACATCACTATTAAAACTCAGAATTGTATCTGTGCATTTATGAACATCTGTTATGGTTCCAAAATATGTATGATGTTTTTTTTCAATTTCTCAGGAGTCCTCTAAACTTAAGTTTCTCGAAATTTTCCTAGAATTTATTGAGATACACTAAAGTTATTGGGATCGCCCATAAGATTTCTGAACTTGTCTGAAGATCTCACGAACTAGCTTGTCTGAGGTTCTTGGAATTTCTATAAAGTTTTTTTTTTACTATAGTCACTTCAACACTCTCGGGTCATTCGTGACTCGGCCGGGGGTGAGATTTTAACTCGTGACTTTGGCGTGAGAGGTATGAATGTTAACCACTACGCCGGGGTCGCCCCCATTTCTATAAAGTATCCACATGTTATTTGGGCTTCTCTAAAGTTTTATGGACTTCCCTGACGCTCTTTGAACTTCTTAAAGTTCCTGCAGTTTTCATGAAGCGGTTGGAACCACCTTAAAGCTTCCCTGAAGTGTTCAAAATTTTATAGAAGTTCTCAAACTTTACCTTACTATCCCACAGTCTGTCCATGAAATTTTCTCGAAATCCCAAGTATTTCCTTTCATTCATCGGATCTTCTTTGAAGGTCTTAAAAAATATGTGGAATACTCTGAAGTTCTCGTTATTATATTAAAGATTGTTTGTGCAAACGTCTAGTACATGCGCAACTACTCTACTAGCTCAATAGGTACATCTATCCTCACACAGATGTCGCTACAGTAGTATTCACAAGTGTATCTTTCTGTTGTGTACTGTTTTGTATTGGCAATCTAACGATAGCATACTCCTCCTATTCGCCACGAGCGCTATCGTTAGATCGCCAATTGTATTTGACAAATAAAATTAAAGTTCGTATGCCTGGAGCATCTGTAAAGTTTCAGAAATTTTTATTGAGTTCTCGTAACTTCCCTGATGTTCTCTGAAAATATGTATTTTTTTGAATTTCTTAACAATCTCGCAATGTTTCTAATTAAGACCGTTAAAATTCTCGAAATATATTTTAATATTCCCAACACGATGCCTCTGATAAAATGTGTAACGGCAAACTGGTAATGTTTGAAAAATAATAGCTATTAACAAAATTCAAATCTTTTCAAATCATTTGAAACTACATTAAAGATTGATTTGGTGTCAAAAGATTCAAAATTTATCGGTAAACTACAAAGAAATGATTTTTCGAACATTGTCAATTTGCCTTTACACGTTTTACCGGAGGCATCGTGTTCGGATTCTTACACCACAAACGAAGTGACTGACGGAGCGGCTCGAAAACTTTGGTGACTAACCTGCTATTGCAATTTTTCAGTGTACCACATGGCAACACCACTACTACTTGATTGTACCACATGGCAACACTACTACTGGATTGAACTAGCATTTTCACCAAATGTACTAGAATGTTTTGGTTCTATCTCTTTCACTCTACTCTGAAATGCATAAAAAAATGACAAAATGATACGCACTCTTTGCACACTGTCAAAGAAACATTGTACACAAAATCAACTTAGTGCAAAACCAAAACAAAAATAGTATCCCAACTGGTGGATGATGGCACAAGCTTCTAAGAAAATTCTATTACAGCGAACCACATTATTTTAATTGATTTCTTCGCCAGTTAGTCGTCTGTCACTTCGTTTGTGGTTAAACTCTCAGAACCTTCCAGAAGCTCCCACAATTTTCCTGTCATTCAAGGAACTATTTTGAAGTTCTCAGGGCAGTCACAATGTTCACGTAACTTCCCTTAAAATCTTTAAGCACAATTGAAGTTATTTAAAATCTTCTGACTTCCGACCTTCTGATAAGTTCCGGAAATTTTCCGGAATTTAAAGGAAATGTTCTTGAAATATAAATTTATCGAAAAGCCCTGATACCATTGGAAGTTAATGTTAAGGATCTTAAAGAAAATCCTTGAAATTCTCGGAGCTATCATGAAATATTTTTCTAAAGAAATTTTAAGAGTAAATACTTGTCATCATGGCACATAGTTGGGCTCAAAAAACCGCAAAAATCAACTTGTTGTTTAGAGTCATGTAAATGAATTTATTTGTACAGGCTCAATTGAATAAACTTTACACTGCCAAATTATCTTTTGCTTTATACATTATTAATATCTTAAATCTAAAGTTAAAATCTAAAGTTAAAGGAATTGAACCGATTACTCGCGGTCGTCTCGAGGTTAGTGAAGATTTACAGTTTCGTTGGTTGGGGAGTGGGGATGAGATAGTTTTGTTCCTCATCGCAAAATTTTAGACCCGATTTTTTTTTAGTTTTGTCATTATGGTGCCCATTTCCATGTTAATCTAGTCTAAAAAATTTCGTTTGATTTTGTTCA